AAGTTGGGGCCGGGGAGATGGCTCAATAATCGCTTGACTGGCAAACTCAAGGATCTGAGTTTAATCCCCGGTTCCGCAAAAAAAAAAAAAAAAAAAAACTAAGAAAGTCACAATTCCTATTATCAAGAATCTGAGGGCCAGAGAGATGGCTCAGTAGAATAAGTGCTTCCCTGGCAAGTGCAAGGACCTGAGTTCAATCCGGTGATCTGCAAAAAAAAAAAAAGAATCTGAGATCCAAGATGCAGGGACTGATCAGTAACTCTTACAAGATAAATATTAGAATAAGGATTTTTTTTTTTTTTTTTTTTTTTTTTTTTTTTGTGGCTCAGGATGACAGAAGGGCAGGTCTGGTAAGGCAGGTGGAGCCAGATATCAAACTACGGTATCCTGCGCCTGTGTTTGCATGAGCAGGCACTTAAACAACTGAGCTAACCAGCAGGCCCCCTAACTATTAGAACAGAAATATGAATACAGCAGTAAAAACATACAAATGAGAAAGAATACAATCCTGTTTGCTTATGGGTTATCAGGGATAGCTGTGGAAAAGAGATGTCTGATGTGGCCTTGATGAAGGACTAGCAAAATGAATGTATGATGAATGTCTGGCAAAAAACATGAATAGAAACATGAAGATGAAAATATACACATTCTGCCTGAGGAAAGCAAGTACACACAGGCATGGACTGGGGGGCAGGCATGAACGTGCTCCAAGCTGAGCCCAAGCAGTAAACAGGGGCCAGACTGATGCCACATAAAGGACTCCTGACTTCATTACCTAGGCAACAAGACAGCACTACAGGTTTTTAGTAGATCCTGATAAACATCTAAGTTATTTATCCAAATGACACAATGACAGACAAGTGAATATAACTAACAACAGCACCTTCCAGAGATGAAAAGCTAAAGATAGTACTGATGAGGAGGAAATTTAAGAGGAAAAATACATAGGTAACTCTACCAACATTAAGTTTACACATCAATTCAATAAAGTATTTACATTATTCGTCCTCCATTTCTCTTTCATGTTTTCTCCAAGAATTTGCAGAGTGAAAAGCAGTCAAAATTGAGGTTATCTAGAGTCAGAAGTCTTTTTCCCAAATCTTTAATCATCGTTGTGCTTCTCCTCTGAGCCCACTCTAAAGTACTGAAGTAATGTGAGGCTAACCTTGGAGAATGGGGATGGGAAGCACAGGGGACAGAGGAGTGGTGAGGTGGACTGTGTTCTATGTTTCTACCACAAACACTGTGTCATGTGTGACTTACGCTCCTTCTAAGGGCTCTACTCTTGCTAGAGGGCCATGGCCATTTTTATAGTTTCCTACTGAGGGTTCTAAAGACAAGTCACAATGCCCACTTCTGTATCTTCTCTCCCAACAGTACAAAAACCTTAGGATGTAATCAGCACGGTGTTGCAACACAAGCGGCCCTTCCATTTCCCATGCAGAGCTTCAACAGACCGTACTGTACTATACAGAGATAGTGACATTTTGAATGATTAAATGCTTCAACCATATGCAAGTGATTTACATGAATATTTACCTTTTTAGGTTGGTCCTGTCACCGCTATCTGAGCTTGCCACAGATGAAGTATCATAGGAGTGTGAGTCAATGGTATCAATGTTTAACAATGTGGGATCCTCGAGAACAAAAGACTCATCTTCATCATCAGTCTAAATTGGAAAAAGATACAGTAATAAATTCAAGATGTTCTGAGACAAGTCAAATAGGCATAATGGGTTTCTTCAAGCATTCAAGTGCTTATTTCTGCTCTTCAATTCTATTCCATTCATTCTTATTCACCAGTCACAGCACAAAATTAAATTTTAACTCCACATAGATATCACTCCCTACAAAGAATTGATGTTAAAAAACTTTTTTATAACAAGGACCAGAAGAGGTAACACAGATTGCTGTTAGCTGCAGGATAGTTCTTAAAAGTTTAAAAATGATTTATTAGTTATAGATGCTTTCTTTACTAGTTATTTACAAGAAATGGCTGATTACAAGAAAATAAGTATAACTGAACTTTAAATAGTCTACTGTAAAAAGCATAGCAGATAAGTAGAAAAAAAGGCATTCTAGATAGAAAACAGCATGTGCAGACACACTGATTTTATAACATGAAAGTTAAGGTAGAACACAAATTATAAAAACCCCTCTATTTCCTTAAGCCAGATAGCAGCAGGCCCATGTCTATCTTTCTGGTGCAGCCACCTTCCTAGTACACTGTCTGGAACATAGTCAGTATTCACCAATTTAATGAATTAGTACACCATATGTAGCAGATAGTAGGAAAATAACTGACATTTTTAAACATGAAAGATATAATGGGAACTATGTTTTAGAACAAATGGGACAGTATGAAGAATGGACAAAGGCAAAGAGAAATACTGAACCAGAGAGATTATGAAGCATCAGAAAGAGGACCAAGAACTCCAGAAAAAGTATTAAGGAAAGAAAGGAGATTCTAGCCTAGGAATACAACAGAAATCAATAGGGAATGATGAAAGAGGCAATATGAAAATGTAAACAAAAGTCCCCTTAAATGAAAGAAAAGTGAGAGGTAAGCGAAAAGTCGAAGATTTCCAAGGTTTCCAACTTGACCAACCACACAAAAGAGGGTACTACTGACTGGGAGAAGAAGGCACAGAAATAGCAGAGAGCAGGATGAGGAGCAGACTGTGTACAAATTGACGCTGACTGGAAGACACTAATGAAGACTATCCTGAACCTCCCTACTCTTGTAGCTGGACTACCTTCTGCCTTTACATTTTCAAGCTATGTTTCTGAAAGACTGAATAACCTACGGTCATTTCCATTTTCATTCATTCCAGTCTGTTGATTACTAACATTGGCAAAAGTGACTAGCCAAGCCACTAGTCTATTTTCAGTCAATATTCTCTTGTCTTTCACATACCATTTAACACTGCTGACCAATCCTACTTCTTGAAACTTTCTCTCTTTGCGGCCAGGGAGATGGCTCAGTGGAATGACCACTTCCCTGGCAACCGCAAGGGCCTGAGTTCAATCCCTGGTTCCGCAAAAAAAAAGAAAAAAAAAAAAAAAAAAGAAACTTTCTCTCTTCTTTATCTAACTGATCTTGATCTCCCCTAAGATTTCGCTTTCCTGGTTCTTCTCCAATTTATATGACCCTTGTGATCATGTTCTCTAGCTTCTACTCAGCCAAACTTTAGAGCCGCTTTCCCCAGCACACCTTAGCTATACGATCAAACTCATCCACATCTACAGCTTGCAGTACCATGTCATATGAATGACTCTGAAACCTGTACCTTTAGCAACTGCTTTTCAGATATCTACACATACAACAAGTCTACTAAAAGCAGTGTTAGCACTGGAAAGGAAATACTGTTGCTTGAGAGCTGTCAAAGATTGGATGAATTGCCATAGGAAAGGGAAAGGAAGTAATTCAGAAATAAGAACTGCAGCAACAAGGTCTTAAGTAAGAGAGATGATCAAAAACTTATTTGATTTTTTTAAGCAGCCTGGGGACATAATTAAAGAAAACAGATCAGCTAAATTAAGCCAGGCTTACAGGATAAGTGAAAGAAAAACTGGAAAACAAAGAATTAAGGATGTCAAGACTAAATTTAAAGGGCTGGCCAAATAGCTCAGCGATTTAAGCACCTGCTAAGGCAGACACAGCAGCTGGGGTTCTGTTCCCCAGCATGTTGTGCCAGCCCCACCCACAGGGCACACTGAGAGGGCAATTGAGACTGGGCATGGGGGCACACCTATAATCCCAGCTCTTGGAAAGCTGAAAACAGGAGGATCACTATGAGTCCATTCTATGTAGTGAGACCCTGTAGACCCTGTCCTAAAATACAAAAAAAAAAAAAAAAAAA